CTAGGGTTAAACCTTACTTATGAGATGTGTTCAGCCATCAAAGAGGGCTGATGATGCTCTAAGACTGAAGTGTCAAGGGCCAAAAGCAGCAGGTTTTGGCATAGGGTTGGCCTCTGCTCCTGGTCCCAAAGGGAAGTGATAATTCTGTGCACCCAAATATGGCACCTGTCCACAACAACCCCTTAAAAGGAGCAGGATAGTTCAAGAAAAGACATGGTTTCAAAGAGCTGCCTACAGGTTCAGCAGGTGTGCCTGCAGCCTGATTCCAAATCTCATTTTCCAAGAAAACCTGAATAGTGGTGCAGCTGTCATTGGAATGGTGTGAATGGTTGGCAAATTGGCAGAGAGAGGAACTTTCCAGTATGGAGCACCAGGACCTATGCAGGAATGCAATTTGCCCCCCAATTGGAATTTAGCAGTAGCTCTCTGGTCTTGGCTTTCCTACCCAGAATTTACCCAATCACCTCATTTGCCCACCCAGAAGTAGAACTGGCTACCTCTGGTTCTCTTGTGGAGGTGATAGCTGTGAAGCAATCCTTCTCCACACCCTGCCTTGTTTGTAGGCCAAATCGATGTTGCCTCAAGGACCTTTCCCCACTTTCACTTGACCACAGCACAAACATACTCCTGTAGCATCTTTTTTTTTTTTCCTGCCCAAGACATTGCCTCTATCCCATCCACAGCCCAAAGATGGAGAGCATCTTTAAGTTATCCTTAGGTATATGAATGTTTATATTTATATCTCAAATTCAGTCACTGCCCATCTCACTCAAGAGCAACTCTGGGTTAAAAGAATGTTTTTTTCCCCACTCCAGCCCCCTTCCATCACTATCCAAGGGCAGCCCCAATGTGTGCAAAATCAGCGAGTCTTTGTTATCCCTTACCTTGAAGGAAAGTCAAGCAACTGCAGCAACAGAGACAAGAGGGATCAACAATGGGGGACAGCCAATTCTGCCAGTTTAGTTTTCTGTTGAATCAAGGATGGGATTAACAGCAGAAGTGTGCAGCATTCAGTTCCAAAACAGGTGAGGGTGTTTTGGACACACACACCCCACGTCTTCAGCTGCCCCTTAAAGGGCATGAGGTCACACTTTTTGCTGCCTCCTTAAATCTAATTCTTATTCTCCCCGGGCCATGTGACTACCCTGCAAGGCCCAGAACAGCTCCTTTAAGGAGCACCCACAAGTACAAGGCAGTGACAAAGGATGCTTTGGATCTGGCCAATTCTGCAGTGGGGAAAGGCTTGTTTCTCTCACACACCTCTATCAGTTTATTGAGCTGTGGAGTAAACGCTCTTATAAGCTAAGCATGTATAGGCTGGGTTTGCAAGACATATGTACCCATGGTTAACTGAATGCTGGTTTACTGATTCAGTTCATTAAATATTCTGGGTTGGACACACAGTGAACCATGAATTAATATCACTGGGACAGGTTCTCATAATAGGTTTTGCTAAAAGATAATAGCCTAATGCAGTGTTTCTCAACCTTGGCAAGTTTAAGATGGTTGACTTCAACTCCCAGAATTCCCCAGCCACCCATTTTAAACTTGCCAAGGTTGAGAAACACTGGCCTAATGTGTAGTTTCCTGGGTCCTGCTGTTACTGCCCTTGATTCCCTTTGTGGAAGAGACCCAAGGACCCCACCACAGGCGAGATGAAATACACTTTCTACCAAAGTTCAGTGCTCGGAATCTGATCTAAGAGTATCTGGTCAAATTCGACAAAGCTTACTTTAGAAGAATTTAGGCTCTGGAGCACAATTCTAAACATGGTTTTCCAGGTGTATCCCTCTCAAAACTACTAGCATACATTTCTAGCTATTGTTTCCACAGTCTGAGGAGCAGAGCAGTGTTTCTTAGCAAAGGCTTTTGAGGCATGTGAGCCTACCAAACTGTGGAACTGTGCACAGAGCAGCCATTCAAAGTTTCTTCTGATCCCAAGGCAACTTTTTTTTCCCAAGAAACAAGATTGGCATCTCCACAGACAAGCAGGGATCTTCACCTTTACACTTCCCAAAGCTTTTCAATGGGGACAAATCGCATTTCCTCTGACACCCACAGCAATTCTATAGGATCCAGGAGTAAGTGTGCTTGAATTGAATACAATTTCCTGTTTAAAGAAATCCAGCATAGGTGCTTGCTGTCCCAACTGTCAAAGTGATCCTCCTCTGCACTTGAGAAAGCAGTTTAGGCCTTCTGTTTCTTGTGGGAAAAGGTGGGACTTGCCCTGTCTAGCTTGCCAGGAATGGAGCTGCTTCAGATTTCTATGGGCTGGGCTGTTCCTAATTTTCTGCCCCCTCAGCCAATTTTCCATGTCCTCTTTGCTGCCCCCTTACTGCCTCTTTGATGAGGAAAGGGGTGGGGGTGGGGAGGGAGGGAGGTTGGTGACTTCCCACTCTTCCCCTTAGGCATTTTCTTAAGAGCCGCAGAGCCAGTAAATCGACTTTGAGAAGGGATTATTCATGCTCCACGCACGGCAGGTTCCTTTCCTTTCTGAGAAGGGGGAAAAAGGACTAAAGGACTTGCAAAGAGGCAGCTCTGAAGGCTTTAAGGAGAGGCAGACTTGGACAGCTCCGCAAATAGTTACCGTGGGAGGCTGGGACCGCGGCTGCTGCTGCTGCTGCTGCTGCTCAGCCCTAATGCAGGTGCTTCAGGCAGTGTTTTCCCCACAACTGCCGGCCATGCACGTTTTGCGCTAAGCAAGAACCGGTTCATAATTCAGTTTGTCCCAGGATTGGATTACTTGAGTAAACGGTGCTTCAGTTAATCATAGTTCAGTAGGAATGCAGTGTTTTTTTTGCAGGGGAGGGTGAGGTGCTTGGAGTAAAGGGATGCGAAGGTAAGCACAAGGCATTATATGCCAGGCACTGTACAGGCAGAAGCGCATGGCGAGTGATCGATGCCCTTGCCCCCCCCTCCCCCCGCTTGTTGCATCAGGGTGCTTAAAGAGGGAATCCGACCCCCTCTGGAGAGGGTGACAATTATAGGTTAGCACAAACCCATCTGCTACAGGGAAGAACTCCCGTAAAGGGTCCCACAGTGAATACCGCCCCCCCCCCATGAGCTGCCTCCAGGAAAAGAGACACCTGTCAGGAGGCTGAACTCCAAGGAGAGGGTGGCAAAAAGGTGGGGGGCAGAAAGAGAGGGTGGTGCGGATGAGCTCGATCTGAGGAGGGAAAGGAAAAGGCGGCCCACCAACGCAGCAGGGTTGATATGACAGACCCTGATTTTGAGCAGCAACAGTTTCCCCTGTGGTTGCATTAAAAGGTACCATGAGATGTAAATAGTACAATCGTCCAATATAGCCTGGAACTAGTCTTCCCGTGAGCTGTTTTTTTTTTTTTTTTTTTTATTC